CTCCAGGGGGCCTTACTGCCCTGCAACTGGTGGGCAAGTAGGGGGCACGCAGTGGCTAGGTGACCAGCAGTCACTGCATGTAGCGTGGCCCGAGTGGAAAGTGGTCTGACAAAGTGCTAACAGAGAGCAACGTGCACTTCCTGTCAGACCAGGTACTGCAATCCCCTCAGCACATGGAGATGAGCAGGTACAGGAGGGGAGGGGGAATGAACACATGGAGGACCTGGGGGTGGATAAGACATTTGGAGAGGCTGGGAAGGGAGAATCTGACATATGGAGAAGCCGGGGGGATAAGACATATGGAGGAGTTGAAGAGGTGGATAAGACACTTGGAGGGGCTTAGGGGGATGAGACAAAGGAGGAACTGGGAGGGGTAGAATGAGACATATTGAAGAGATGGGAGGGGAGATTGAGAAACATGGAGGAGGGAGGATAAGATAAAATGAGGGTCTGGTGGGAACAATGAGACACATGGGAAGCTGGGGGGAGAATGAGACATATGGAGGGGCTGGGAAGGAATGAGACACATGGGGAGACAGGGCAATTTTCATACCAGGGCACGGTGGATTCTAGTTACTCCTTTGACGGGAATTGCAGTGTGGGGGATAGAGGTTGTATTGGGAAGATAGTGGCTCTAGTGGGAGGACTGGGACTGTAGTGTAGGGGACAGAGGCTAAGGGGCTGCTTAAAAAAACATTTTGACCTGAACGCCCCAGCTGCGCATATACCTACAACAAGCAAACCTCCTCTCGTTTATTGTTTAGTTTTATTTGCTTTGATTGTTGTTGAATTCTATATTACTGTTGGCATGACAATTATCAGCTGAGTGCCCATTGCCCGTGGTTTCACTCCCAGTCTATGTCCTTACTACAACAAGAGGCACAACTCCAGCCTACCCTTCTGTAATATTTAAACCACCTAGCGATCTCCTGTGGGGAACGGTTGGCACAGTTTAACAGCTTATATATCTTGTTACTACTTTTATAAAATATAGTAAAAACCTAATCTTCATGCTCAAACTGCTACTGCCGTGGCTTGGAACAAATGTATTGTGATGTTTCAAACCTTGTTACTTATTTTTCTCTATATTGTGCACTACCTGTATAATTTTGTGGATTAAGAATAAAAAATGATTGACAAAAAAAAACAAAATTGGTTAAAAGATAAATAAAGTGCATTCCCCACTTTCTGAAGCTTACCATAGGCCAGAGAGGGGGCAACTTGATCCCTGGCGGTTCGGTGGAAAATGTTGCTGTTTGCATGTCGGTAGGCGCAGAGATCTCCAGGGGATTGTATCAGAGCCAGGGGTGGAACTACCGCTGGTGCAGTCGTTGTGGCCACATGTTGGAGGGGGCCATGGGGGGTATGGGCCACCCAAAGTTTTTGCTGAACAGGGGCTTGGTCAGACACAGCAACTAAGAGCACGACCGGGCCCCTGTAGTGTCGGCCAGCTGGAAGGAAGTGACATCTTGTCATTTTGACCCAGCTTCATGTAGAGGGTCAGGGAGTATGGAGAAGGAGGCGCAGGGAGCAGCGGTGAGGCCCATCAACTGTCCCTCACAGGGGCCTGCCGGATTGCCTTGTTTTTCCTCTACCCATCCACTTCCAACCAGCTTCATGTAGAGAGTCAGGGAGGATGGAGAAGGAGGTGCAGGGAGCAGCGGTGAGGTTCATCAACTGTCCCTCACAGGGGCCTGCCGGATTGACCTTGGGGGTTCTGTGCTTAATAGTGGAGAGGGAGTGGAGACCCACCTACAAGGTGCAGTTCCTGGGCCTATATAATCAGGGAGCCCCTCCAATGTAGGCAGGCGTTCACGCCGCGTATGTGGGCAAGACGTTATGTCCCTTTGACCACTTAAATGGCTGCCTCCCCAACACTGCTCTCAAAACATACTTCAGCAATCCTCCAGGAGACCCTGGGGCCATGCTGGGGACACAACCACTACAGCACTTGAAGAAACCGGTGTAGAGGAGGCATGCCGGCGGAAGGCAGGGTGTACCTCTTTACCCTGCTCACCGCAACCCACATGGTACGGCCACAGGGGTCGTTGGCACCGAAGGAGGAGCGATGCGCCTCTTGCCAACGGCGTGCCATTGTGGAATAGAGGAGACAGCTGGCAAGGTAGGTGGAGCACATCTCTTACTCCAGGGAGTAGGCATCCGGGGAGTGAGTGACTAAGAGTGTGTATGGGTCACTATTAGTGATGTCCCAAACGGTTCGCCGAACGGTTCGCCACGGACGACGAACATATGCGCTGTTTGGTCCGCCCCCTATTCATCATCATTGAGTAAACTTTGACCCTGTACCTCACAGTCAGCAGACACATTCCAGCCAATCAGCAGGAGACCCTCCCTCCCAGACCCTCCCACCTCCTGGACAGCTCACTAAGAATGCAGCTTCACAATGAATGTAAAATGGATGCTGTCCAGGAGGTGGGAGGGTCTGGGAGGGAGGGTCTGCTGCTGATTGGCTGGAATGTGTCTGCTGACTGTGAGGTACAGGGTCAAAGTTTACTCAATGATGACATAGGGGGCGGACCGAACAGCGCATATGTTCGCCGTCCGTGGCGAACCGTTCAGGACATCACTAGTCACTATGTGTGCATTTGTCACTGTGTGTGTGTGTGTGTGTCACGGTGTGTATATATCAGTCACTGTATGTATGGGTCACTGTATGTGTTTGGATAACTAAGAGTATGTGTGGGTCATTGTGTGTATGTCTATCGGTCACTGTTTGTATGTATGAGTAACTGTGTGTATGGTTCACTGAGTATGTGTGTGAGCCACTGAGTGTATGTGCAGATCACTGTGTACAGTATCTCACAGAAGTGAGTACACCCCTCACATTTTTGTAAATATTTTATTATATCTTTTCATGTGACAACACTGAAGAAATGACACTCTGCTACAATGTAAAGTAGTGTACAGCCCGTATAACAGTGTAAATTTGCTGTCGCCTCAAAAAAGCTCAACACACAGCCATTAATGTCTAAACCGTTGGTAACAAAAGTGAGTACACCCCTAAGTGGAAATGTCCAAATCAGGCCCAATTAGCCATTTTCCCTCCCCGGTGTCATGTGACTCGTTAGTGTTACACCGTCTCAGGTGTGAATGGGGAGCAGGTGTGTTAAATTTGGTGTTATCGCTCTCACACTCTCACATACTGGTCACTGGAAGTTCAACATTGCACCTCATGGCAAAGAACTCTGAGGACCTGAAAAAAAGAATTGTTGCTCTACATTAAGATGTCCTAGACTATAAGGACATTGCCAAGACCCTGAAACTGAGCTGCAGCACGGTGGGCAAGACCATACACTGGTTTCACAGGACAGATTCCACTCAGAACAGACCTCGCGATTTGTCGACCACAAAAGTTAAGTGCACGTGCTCAGCGTCATATCCAGAGGTTGTCTTTGGGAAATAGACGTATGAGTGCTGCCAACATTGCTGCAGAGGTTGAAGGGGTGGGGGGTCAGCCTATCAGTGCTCAGACCATACACCGCACACTGCATTAAATTGGTCTGCATGCCTGTCGTCCCTCTTCTAAAGATGATGCACAAGAAAGCCTGCGAGCAGTTTTCTGAAGACAAGCAGGCTAAGGACATGGATTACTGGAACCATGTCCTATGGTCCAATGAGACCAAGATAAACTTATTTGGTTGAGATGGTGTCAAGCGTGTGTGGTGGCAACCAGTTGAGGAGTACAAAGACAAGTGTGTCTTGCCCCCAGTCAAGCATAGTGGTGGGAGTATCATGGTCTGGGCTTGCATGAGTGCTGCCGGCACTGGGGAGCTACAGTTCATTGAGGTAATCATGAATGCCAACATGTACTGTGACATACTGAAGCAGAGCATGATCCTCTCCTTTCGAAGACAGGGCTGCAGGGCAGTATTCCAACATGATAACAACCCCAAACAGATCTAAAAGACGACTACTACCTTGCTAAAGAAGCTGAAGGTAAAGGTGATGGACTGGCCAAGCATGTCTCCAGAACTAAACCCGATTGAGCATCTGTGGGGCATCCTCAAATGAAAGGTGGGGGAGCGCAAGGTCTCTAACATCCACCAGCTCCGTGATGTCGTCATGGAGGAATGGAAGAGGACTCCAGTGGCAACCTGTGAAGCTCTGGTGAACTCCATGCCCATGAGGGTTAAGGCAGTGATGGAAAATAATAGTGGCCACACAAAATATTGACACTTTGGGCCCAATTTTGACATTTCCACTTAGGGGCGTACTCACTTTTGCTGCCAACGGTTTAGACATTAATGGCTGTGTGTTGAGTTATTAGGAGGGGACAGCAAATTTACACTGTTGTACAAGCTGTACACTTACTACTTTACATTGTAACAGAGTGTAATTTCTTCAGTGTTGTCACATGAAAAGATATAACAAAACATTTACAAAAACTTGAGGGGTTTATTCACTTTTGTGAGATACTGTATATGTGCGGGGCACTGTGTGTGCATGTAAGGGTTACTGAGAGTATGTGTGTGTGGGTCACCGTATGTGTGTGTGGGTCACTATATTTGTGTGTTGCAGTGAGCATGTGTGGGGCAGTGTATGTGTATATGTCCATACATTCCAGCATTCAAACACCAACACAATAAACAAATACATCCCTACATTCAGATGCCCACACTACACAAAAATACACACCTACGTTAAAATGCCAACACTACACACAAATGCACAGTGTAACAAATGTTATATTGACCGCAGTGTTCCTTTAACAGTTTTTTTAGAAAGCTTGACTATTTTCTGATTGGCCAATTGAATGCTGTTTCAGTTTTGCAATCTGCTGATTATTATGGCTATGCATACATAATGTTAAAAATCATTCTAACTGCAAAATATCAGCATCATATTCAATCAGTAGCATCTGGACTAACCAAAGAATTCCTGTGGATTTTGTCTCAGTTCCTTCTCTTCAAACCATTATTACATTATGCTGTGCTCTGTATATTTTTCAACTTTAAAATCAGTAAAATAGCCCAGCAGTGTTTTTGAAAATGTCTTTATTCAAAGTTCAATGCATTACAGTTGTTTACTGACTGAGTATATATTTTCACGTCTTCCCTGGTATCATCAAGGTCACTGAAAGTCAACCAGCATGCAGGATATAGCTTCCCTGCTGTCCAACCTTACACTTGGATGCCTGAAGCTTTGCCTTTGGCTCTGGCTCTGTGGTTCTGTAGTGACAATTTAGGTAAAGTTATAGCCATAAATAAGGAATAGAGAAATGACAGCTTGAACGATTCCCTGTGAAGGACATGCCTGACTGATAGAATTTATGTGTAGTTCAAAGAAAATGAGAAATGAGTTTGATAAAAGTAAAGACCTCGTCAAAGATTGAAATATGTACCTGTACCAGAAAAAGGATATATCTTTTTCCGCAAAAGATATGTGTAGTACCTGAGGCAGACATCAAGCGCTACCGTTTTGGTTCAATATTAAAGGGACACTATAGTGTCAGGAATAGAAATCTGTATTTCTGATACTATAGTCCTGGCATGGCTGTTTAGATCCCCGCTCTGATTGCACCGAGAAGGTGTTTTTACTCACATTTTTCCCACGCTGCGCCAGTCTCACTGCGACTGGCTCTGCCTTTATGGCTGAGATTATCAAACTCGATGATCTCAGCCAATCCATTGCTTTTAGTTAGGAAAACATTAGCGATACTCTGCAATCAGCATTAAGGTGCATTGATCTATCTATGTTTATATATACAGTATATAAATATATATATATATATATATATATAAATAAATATGTATATATATATATAGATATATAAAAAGAAAGTTGTCTTGGCACTCACGCTTTAAGCAATATTAAACAAAAATCTTGCCTTGGTGCAACCTCAGCATCCAAATATGTATTGAATAAGGTGCACTTATAGGTCTTTTTCCAAGGTGTATCTTTTATTGTAGTTACATTTACATTTAAATAGTCCGACTCAACGTTTCGACCCCTATAGGGTCTTTTTCAAGATCAATTATACAGTGTGCAAAATGAGAATATATAAGAAAAGTATCATAATTACTTACCAATGAAGTTTGTGAACGATCTGACACCTGTCGGAACCCGGAAGTGCACAGGCGGGACACGTTATCAGCGTGATGACGCATGCAATAGCAATGGCGTTGCTAGGCAACGTGCAAACTACAAGAAATACCTGTTGTCCCAGTGCAGAGTGATGAAGTAATGTGCTGGAATTGAATCATATGAGAATTATAAGTGAATTAAAAGAATTTAGGACGGAGGATTAAATAGATTTGCATCTAATATCGCTGAAAAAACGATCAAGGAGCTAATAACAAACAAAGATGTGAATGAACAGTGCTAATGTAATAGGTGACGTGAAAAAACATGATCGAAAAATATAAATGTGAAAAAAGTAAAACAAAACAAAGAAACAAGGTATAAGCTCATGGATAAATACAACACTAACTGTCTATTGCAGGACAACATAGTGCCCATGAAGTTACATACTGGAGTATATAGCTACTAATAAAGATAACTCAATAGAATACTCATTAATAAGAAGCTGAGTGGACATGTAACTAAGCATAAATATACTAGTAATATATACATTTGAATGACTCTGAGTGGGTCAATACTATAACTCCTTAGTATTATATTAACTATAAAAACTGAAACATGAGGTAAAGGCTAAGCATCATAGCAAAAATTATAATGTACATTACAGAAACATAGAATAAGTCATTTGTTCATTTAGGCCCTTCAGTGCAACAGTGTCCAAATAAATTCCTTTGGAGCAATAGTCTAGACCTATCACACCCATGGGGTAAATATATATATATATATGACATATAAAAAAAAATAAAAACACAACAACAAATTCCTCGCCTTCTCTACCTTTTTCCTGCATGTGTCCTTTTTTGTGATTTTGTTTTATTTATCTTATTTACAACACAGATGTAATGTGCCTTTTTGGAGCTTACGTGGGCTGTTGGGGAGAGATAAGTATCAGAGACTTTGGCCAGTAGTCCAATCAACCTCCTATGCCAGAGCTGGAGAATCAGTAATAAAGGGTGTACAACTCAGTGCTGTCCCAGCTCCTCCAGTGTCTGTGTGTGAGACTGAAGAGGAAGTGATCACTTCCTATCTGCCCACTAACAGCCTCTCACATAGACATAGAATACTTAGACGCCGCACGTCTATGGCATTGCGTGCTGAGCGTCGAGGAATGCGGGCGCCATCTTAGACCGGTCGCCGCTCTACTGAAGCTATTGAAGAACCCTTGGAAAGTCCATCTCACAAAAGGTAAGTGAAGGACTTGGGGCACCCCCTACCCCTAGTCCTTAGTACCCCTACCCCTAGTCTTTAATACCCCTATCCTTAATCCTTAATACCCCTACCCCTACAGTGTTAATACCCCTACCCCAGCACACTGTGTATTAACACTGTGTGTGTAGGGGTAGGGGTATTAACACTGTAGGGGTATTAAGGACTAGGGGTAGGGGTATTAAGGACTAGGGGTGGGGTATTAAGGACTGTAAGTGCTCCAAGTCCTTCACTTACCTTTTGTGAGATGGACTTTCCAAGGGTTCTTCAATATCTTCAGTAGAGCGGCGACCGGTCCAAGATGGTGCCCGCATTCCTCGACGCTCAGCACACAATGCGGCGTCTAAGTATTCTATGTCTATGGCCTCTCACACAGGAAATGTCTTGCAGGAGGAGCAGGGCAGCACTGAGTGTATGGCATTGCGTGCTGAGTATACAAGCCACTGCAGCTCAACAATCAATCATAGAAGGGTGACTGGACTACAAAAGACTTAATGGATCACTATATTGTCAGGAAAACAAAGTGGTTTTCCTGACACTATAGTGCCCTGAGGGTGCCCCCACCTTCAGGGTCCCCCTCCCGTGGCGCTGAAGGGGTTAAAACCCCTTCAGTTACTTACCTTATTCCAGCGACAGACTCCCTTTGCGCTGGTGAACGCATCTCCCTCGCATCTCCCTCGCCGACGTCAGCTCCCTCTGCCGACGCCAGCGGAGCCGAATGCGCATGCGCGGCAGTGCCGCAGATGCGCCTCTAGTGGCTGTAATAATAATATGCCTCCAGTGTCGCAGATGCGCCTCGAGTGGCTGTCCGGAAGACAGCCACTAAAGGCTGGCTTAACCCTGCAATGTAAACGGTTGCATTTGCAGGGTTAAAACCTGAGGGACCTGGCACCCAGACCACTTCATTGAGCTGAAGTAGTCTGGGTGACTATAGTGTCCCTTTAAGAGGGTGAGTACTTTTCAAATAACTCTTAATACTTAGCTGCACGCTTTCACTATATTCAGAGATTTAAACACAATACATTACAAGCAAAGGTACACACACACATATATATGCATTGTCAATTACCATTTACTCATATAATACTGTTTATTTTAATTATTTTAGGAGGTGGGGGGAAGGATCAGTGTGCACCTTAGAAAATCCTGCCATGTTTGTTAGTTTTACATCTTCATCTGGCAGAACTGCCAAGCATTTTCAAATTCTGTTTTAATTTTAGTCCATTTTCGCTGTCCCTTAGGGAGTTGTGGAACCCGAGACACTGTAAAAGTGGTTTTAGTTTGTTGATCTTTCTTATTGCCAATTATAAAATCAAGCAATCTGCCACGGAATTACATGGATCAGAATTTCAACACAAAATCTTTGATGTACCTGATGTTTAATAACAATTATTATATAATTTAAGTCAAAATATGTATTTTATTTATAGTTTTTTTTTAATAATTTACTTTTAAGCACCTTAGAGTGTTACTGATAATTTACTGAGAATTGTTAATATCTATATGGAGTAAGTCTATGCATGTTTAATTAATTGGACAGATATAATTATTTAATTTCTGTAAGTTTTAAAATACTTGCCCTTCGAAGAAATAATGAGTTTATTTTAATTTATTTCTTTAATAAATGTAGCATTAAGTTCTCCATACAAAGTAAGAAATAGATTGGAAGCTAGGATACAATTAATAGCAGACAATAGGATGTATTATTTATTGGCAAGTAACACAATTTTTTTTTTTTTTAAATTATCTATGAATTTGAAATCCAAATTATTTTCAATGGCATGTGTAAAATAAATTGCTCTAATGAGCACAGTAAGCAACTTATCCGGCTCTCTGTTTGCGTCAGAATGTTTTGACTTCCATGCTGGGAGGAGGTGAAATAAAATAATATACTAGAGGAACTGTATCCCTTTGGCGATACACAGTTCAACAAAGATGCTATTAAGGAGGTCAAGGGCAATATTGGAGGCTCAATGCTGTAATAGTGCTAGGAGAATAAGTGGAGGTTAGGGGAGTAGTGGGGAAATGGAGTTGTAGTGGTGGGATAGGGACAGTTATGGGGAATAAGGCAGAAGTGGGTGATAAGAGGCAGTAGTGGGGGTTAGAGGCTGAAGCAGAAAGCTCCTTCTGGCCAGTGCTAAGAAATGTATCAGAATGTTGCTGTGGTAACCCACGGCAATATTCTAATACTGTAGAAGTAGTTGAGAAACTCCTCTCGATCAGTATCAGGGGTGAGCTAGGGACCATTGTCATAATGTCCCTTTAACCCCTTAAGGACCAAACTTCTGGAATAAAAGGGAATCATGACATGTCCCTCTTGACTAGTGTCTCTGACTGCCTCTCTGCTGTTTCTAACTGGATGGCTGCCCACTTCCTTAAACTAAACTTGACCAAAACTGAAATTCTGGTCTTTCCTCCCTCAAGTGTTGTTACTCCTGTGTCTGTCTCTCTCCAAGTCAACGGTGCTACCATCAGCTCCACCACACAGGCTCGCTGCCTAGGTGTTCTCTTTGACTCCGACCTCTCCTTCAAGCCTCATGTTCAATCTATCGACCAAATCCTGTCATTTCCATCTCAAAAACATTGCGCGCATCCGCCCCTACTTAATGCCAGATGCGACTAAGGTGTTAGTCCATTCCACTGTCCTTTCTCGCCTTGACTACTGTAATCTGCTTCTCAGTGGTCTTACGTGCTCCCAACTTGCGCCGTTACAGTCCCTAATGAATGCGGTGGTGAGGCTCATCTTCCTGTCCGCCCGCACCTCCCATGCCTCACCCTTCTGTCAGTCCCTACATTGGCTTCCTATAAAATATAGAGCTCAATTTAAAATTCTGGTTCTTGCTTTCAAATCTCTACTTAATGCTGCTCCCACCTATCTAGCCTCCCTTATACACAAGTATGTCCCGTCTAGGCACTTACGATCTGCTGAAGACTTACGTCTATCTTCTGTCCGTACTCCCACCTCTGATGCTCGCCTTCAAGATTTCTCGAGGGCTGCACCGTTCCTGTGGAACTCGCTTCCCTCCTCCGTTAGATGCTCACCCAGTCTCCACTCCTTCAAAAAATGGTTAAAAACCCACTTCTTCATAAAAGCATATCAATTAAACTGTTAATAGCTCCTGACTGATTCCTCTTCTGCAACTGTCACTAGTCTAATACTATCCTTACCTTTTTGTGTCATTTACCCCACTCCCTCTAGCATGTAAGCTCATTGAGCAGGGCCCTCAACCCCTCTGTTCCTGTGTGTCCAACTTGTCTGGTTACAGCTACATGTCTGTTCGTCCACCCATTGTAAAGCGCTGCGGAATTTGACGGCGCTCTATAAATATAATAATAATAATAATAATAATAATAATGTCATACACGTCATTTGTCCTTAACACTTCTGGGGTTAAGGTAATGTACACATCTGGTGCTATGGTCAGCATGAATAATTTCCAAGTACTATCTTATTCCAGCTGGAGACATCATAATGTATTTTGCAATAAACTAAGGTTCTATTCACTAAATAATGATTTGGGGAGTTGACAACTGATTTGTAAAAATGCAACAGGCTTGGGAAAAATAACCTGGTAGTTTTCCTTCCCCATTCAGAGTGTTCATCTTTGATGTGTTGGTGCATTAAGGTTCATGGTTTTTTTTTTGTTTTTCTTTACATTTTTTCCTCCGATTATTATTAAAAAGCAATTTTTTTAATTTTATAAATTGATACTAATGTCTGCTGTTACTCTTGTGTTTGCCCATTTTTAAGTAACACGCTAAGTATTGTATTACTGAAACTAATGAAACCAGTCATTTCGCCATGTGAAGATGAACATTAAACTTATTAAAACGTTTTATGTTTGTAATCATTAGTGATTAAGTTTCCTCAAGGATAGAAACGTATACAGTTGATAAATCAGCAGCAAGCTGTAGTGGTTAATTCTGTTGAGTTCTATATTCGGTACAGGAGTCAGACTACTTGAAATAAAATATTAATAAACTATAAAAAATACAAAAGAGAGTTAAAGGGTAACTGTCACTTTTTACTAATTTATTATGTTTAATTATGTTTAATTATCCCCTATATTAAATAATATATATTTAATATTTGTTAATATTTGTTAGGTGTGTAATCAATGTTAAATGTAGAAATATACATTGTTTCCTGGCAAATGGGCACCACCATATTGGATGCCTGTCAATCCTTTGTTATAAGCTCTGTAATTTGCACTTGGTAGTCAGGATAGATAGCATGCAGAGACAATAAAATTAAACTATGGGAGAGATTTATCAAAATATTCTAAAATAGTTGTCTATTCTAAAAAATATTCTAAAGCAATTATTTTAAACCAGTGTACTACGGCATCCTGGTGTGCCTCAAGTGTAGGGTTGGATCCAGGGGGGTTTGCACCAGGGCAAGTGCCCTTTCTCCGCAAAAAGTCAAGCAATGACCACAATGGCAGTGGTCCCCATCTTGCCCCTGATGCCGCGGTCTGAACTTCCAGACCAAGTTCTCCACTCCTTCTACCGGTTACCACAGTATCCTTCTGATACATTTCTCGGCCAGAATGAGCTGTCTGCACCTGCCGGGTGTGCAGACAAGCTGCATTTCCTATCGGAGCACCAGGAATCAGGATTCCCACCTCCCTAAACTGTAAGCACCAGAGATGAGGGAAGAAACTTTAGAGTTTTTCTTTTAAATTAAATTTATTTTTTTCAACTTTCTGCTAAGCCCCTTCTCTACGTCATTACAACCCTTAGCCCCCAAAACTGCCCCTAACTTCCACTACAGACCCGAACGGCCACCATGGTCTCTAACCTCTACCACTTCCCCTAATCACCAACTACTGCTTTATTCCCCAACATAGCCCCTCTTCCAACTACAGCTCCAATCCCCCACTACTGCCCCTAACCCCCACTTCTATTCCTAACCCTGTTATGGCACCAGTAACCTTCCTATCATGGCCTGCATTACATTTTTTAGCAAATTGAGTTAATGTAACTCTTCTGTTTGATCGGCCCAAATGGGCTAGCCTTTGCTCCTCCCATGCATCAGTGAGGTAACTAACCACTGCATACCAGAAACATCCCACAAGACTTGCCATTTTGGACATGCTCCGACCCAGTCGTCTAGCCATCACTATTTGGCCCATGTCCAAGTCACTCAGTTCCTTTCGCTTGCCCATTTTTCCTGCTTCCAACACATGAAATTCAAGAACTGACTGTTCACTTGCTACCAAGTATGTGCCACTTCTTGACAGATGCATTGTAACAATATAATCAATGTGATTCACTTCACCTGTCAGTGGTTTTGATGTTGTGGCTGGTCAGTGTATTGCATCCTTGTATGATACTTTTATGTCTGATTATGTTGGCTTTGACACTTTACTCCTGTTGCCCAGTCTAGATTCTATAATGGAATGTAGATCAGGAGTTAGTGGGAAGAGGTGTGCTTGACCTTTGATTTTCCATTTAAATTGAGATGAGCATGCTGGGGAAGTTTTCCTTTTTTTATTAGCAAAAGCAAAGAAATGTAATCTCTATTTGTATCTGCTGTTACCTGGCTTCTGCTGTTGGTACTGGAAGATTTTTTTCATGGATGTTTTTAATATCCCCAAGGGGGAAATAAATACTTCTTTTTTTTAAATTTTATATCTGAGAGCCTACGATTCATCTCTTTTGTGGATCAGTATTCATGGTAGCTCAGTGATAAGAACAGTCAGTTGATGGTGACAGTAGTAATGGTGAATGAGTACACAAACTAGAACAGAGGTAGGCATCTTTGGCACGCTAGATGTTGTGGACTTCATCTACCATGATGCTTTGCCAGCATTATGGCTTTAAGAATATTATGAGAGATTTAGTCCACAACATCTGAAATGCCTACACCTGATCTAGAAGATGGCTTTACAGGTATTTCTTTATATTTGGAATTTATTATAATCGCCTGATACTGTCCTTTTTCCATAAACAGCTATGCCATGGGCTCGTATAATATGTCTGTTTCTTTTAATTCTTCTATTAACAAAAGGATCTTTTAAAAGTTAACATCATCAATAATCCCTTTGGTACTGCTTCAATTTAAGCCTCTAAAAGAGCTGTGTATGAGAACATCTGGTAAATTCGTCTGCGAGCAGCGTATAGCAGCTAATTCATGTAGAGCTACAGCAAAACATTAATATCGTTAGGCATGGCCTGTTTCGTATTATTGAATCCTTTCCTTTTCAATGTACAGCACCAGAGGCGGCTCTCTAATTAGGCGATTTAGGCGGCTGCCTAAAGCCTCGCGCTGATGGGGGCCTCGCGGCTGTCTAAATCACCTTAGGGCAGACTACCATGTCGGGTCCTAGGTCAGAGACCGAGGACCCAACACAGGAGGGGGCCTGGTGGCTTGCAGATAATGCCGGCGGGTGCGAGGCCCCTCCTGTCAGTCACTGGGAGTGAGCGGCAGACTAAAGTGTCTTGCGATCTCCCACCTGTCAGATGGTTACCACATCAACACTCTGACGGGAGATCGCAAGATTTACCACTTGGTCTGCATCTCACTCCCGGCGGAGCTGCAGACCATTGAGCCGGACCACTGGGGAGAAAGGGCGCCCACAGGAATGTATTATGAACCCCCTGTCCACCCCCCTGTTACTACCCTTCCTACCTCCTGTCACTGCCCCTCCACCTCCACCTCCCCCTGTCACTGCCCCTCCATTCCCCACACCCTCTGTTACTGCCCCTCCACCCCGTCACTGCCCCTCCACCCCACCGTACCACATGTTACTACCCGCTGTCACTGCCCCTCCACTTCCCCTACCCCCTGTTACTGCCCATCTATCCCCCGTTACTACCCCTACCCGCTGTTACTGCCCCTCCACCCCCTACCCCCTGTCATAGCCCCTCCATCTCCCTACCCCCTCTCACAGCCCCTTCACCTCTTTACACAGTCACAGCCATGCCACTCCTACCCTGTCACAGCCCCTCAAGCCCCCACTGCATGTCACAGCCCCTCCAGTCCCCTTACCCTATCACAGCCCCCCTACCATGTCACAGCCCCCACACCCACCCTGCCACAGCCACCTACACATATTGTCACAGCCCCCCCTATCCTGTCACAGTCCCCATCCTCTCAAAGCCCCCCACCCTGTCCTGTCACAGCCCCACCAACCTGTCACAGCCCCCCTACCCTGTTACCCCTCCACACACACACCCTGTCACAGCCCCCCTCCATACACCCTGTCACCCCATACACACACACACCCTGTCACAGCCCCCCTCCATACACCCTGTCACCCCATACACATACACTATCACCATTCCCAAACACTTTCAGCCCCCGTACACCGTCTCCCCCTTCACCCAGCCACACTCACATTAAACCCTTCTAATCCTGTCACTCTCACCCCCTCCAACCATACCAAACTCACCTGCCCTTGCTTTACCACAATTACCCTATCACATTAACCCCCCTCAATCCTATCAGACTCACCTTCTCTTGCACTGTCGCACACAGTCCCCAACCCTGTCACACTCATCCTCTATCAGTCTGTCCCACTCATCCCCTTCACCCTGCCACACTCACATAAGTTAATCCTGTCCTCCAACTGTGCCACACTCACCCCAAACCCTGTCACACTCTCCCCCCAACCCTGTCACACTCACCCTTTCACATTAATCTAATCCTGCCACATTAACCCCCTTAATCTTGTCACACTCCCCTCCCCTCATTCTGTTACACTGCCTCCTCCAAACATGGCACATTCACCCCAAACCTGTGATGCACCCCCAGCTATGCCGCATGCAGCCTGTCACATTAACTTCCTCCAATCCTGTCATACTTACATCCCCATGACCTGTCACAATCACCACCCTATTATTCTCACCCTACATCATTCTGTTACACTCACCCCCCCAACCCTGTCTCATTTACCCGCCTCACCCTGTTACACTCACCCCTTTACTCACCTTGTCACAGTCACAAACTGAAGACATTCATCATACACACACAGGCAGCCCTCATAAACACCACACAGCGCAAGCAGCTACCCCACACACATACGGTCCCAGACACATACTCATAAAGACATACGTTCACACACAAGGATACTCTCGGTCAGACACACACTTTCATGCACATACACAGGTAGACAATGCCAGACACACTCAGAAATACACACACACTGGCAGTAATGTATACATGACTGCAAGGCTATGTAATCATACCCTGCAGTCGTGTATAAATTATTAGCATAATTGCTAATCAAATTTGTTTATTGCAAATTAATTTAGTTTGCAAATTATGCCATAACTACAGTCAGAGAGCTCACAACACAGCGGCACAGGGAGCCGCTACACTGCAAGCCTCTGAACAAGGAATACAGAGACCAGCTCTCTGTATCCAGTGCTGCAAGCTTGTCCTTCAATACAACTACAGCACCTTATACACACAATGCAACCCCTATTTTTTCCCCCCACTTTGGGTGTTAGTGGGGGCCTCATGTTTGAGTTTCGCCTAAGGCCTCACAAAGTCTAGAGCCGCCACTGTACAGCAGCTTGGGTTTGAAATAACCAGACAGTATTGTGATAAACTGATGTAAAATCTCTGTGAGTTTATCGAGATCTAACAGATCTCACCAAAGTATCACATACTTTTAGGTCCAAATGAAGTTAAAAATAGAAATGCACGCTTTTCTTCAGATACCATGTTTTCATCAAAATATTGGCCAACCTGTTTCTACATATTTATCACGGTCCTGAGCAAGATAGTTTATTTGATCAAGCATGGGTTTTTTTCTTTTCTATGCTACAACTTTCAGTCAACAGATGTTATAAATATAGCTGATCATTATGTGGCTAAATTCGTTTCATATGCTGTCTCTTTCAAAGGAATGTAAAGCCGCTCTGTCTCCAAAAACAAAATTGATCTAATCTACTGCTATATAGCTCCCTGAATCTGATTTCTTCTTCTTTTTTTTTTTTTTACTTGCGTGCTCTTCCTTATTTTTAAGTCAAGTTGTATGTTTGCATTTGTTTTTGTATCACACAGCTGTGTTACAATGCTGCCGCCCACCCAATGTTTTCCCTATTAAGGGTTAATAAGTATGTAGGGATTTATAAAAAATACCCCTCTCTGTCTCAGAAGCTGAAGGTAGCAAGGTGAATTGTTAGTGTAGGACCCAGCTACCTAAGTTTTGCCTTGACGTGGCCTTGACGCCATTGGCGTGGAACTTTAACCTCCATTTAATTTAATATGCATTGGGATTTGGGATAGTGTGCAGGTAACTCTTATCTGGAGCATAAAGCAAGATTCTGTATAGTTACCAAACAAATTTACCCACAATTCATCAGTAAAAACATCCCACAGAAGGGTACACAACAGACAAGGGCAGAAAAGAACAAAAATTCACACAAGGAGGAAAAGGTAATACTTGTAACTAAAGGTAAGTGAAATATACACACATACACTCAGGTACATACAGATACATAAAGAGACACACATGCTGGTAATTTTTTATTTTTTTTTATTGGCATTTTATAGAAATTCACAGTCTTATTGCAGGGTATGCGAGTTACAATCATGTTTACAGCATAGAGAGTACAGTATAGTGTGCAACTTGCATTGTCATTGTACAGTCATAACTTTACATTGGTAAGAACATGTCATGAGCATACATGGATTAGTAATACCTAGGTTAACATCAATAAACATAATATCCTGACAAATGCTATACGTGCACGTGTTTGTGTTGTCTTCTTTACAAGTCCAGTGGACGTGTTAGTTAGAATTTTCCTTTCGCCCTGCTGGTATCGATAAGTACTCGGCTGTAAATTAACCCGCAGCTCCCTAGTGCTCAGCTACGTTTCCAATAAAGAGTTACAGACTTGGGGCATAACAACCTGGGTATACTACGGGGAAAGCGGGGAGAGGTAGAGGTGGGGAGGGGGGCGGGGTTTGGTCCCTTGGTCTAGTCCAGCATATAGGCCTGCTCTTCGACCCCAATAACTTGCACAAGGAGTTCACATCCAGCTCTAAGGAGGTAAGGGTGGTGTGTGGGCACCTGTGTAGTCAGAGGTATGGTTATGGGAAAGGTACGTGTTCCCCTTTTCCTAAAGCGTTTGTTCTGTGGGCTGCAACGTAGAGGGTGATTAGAGATTCCTCTGTTTCTGTTGATATGTGTCCCATTTTTCCCACGCCTCCTTCCAAAATTTTTGTGGTGGGTTATTGGATCTGGCCATTATCTCATATCCCTTTATGTTTTCAATATGTGTTATGCAGCTCTGGATGTTGGGGATTGTCTGTTTTTGCCAGTGTTTGCTGATATGCAGCAGAACTGCCAAGATAATGTGATAGATTAGATATCTTGATGATTTTGCAATATTTGGTGGAATATACTGTAGGAGGTAATGCTCTGGAGTATGTGCGAGAGCTACTCCTATAATACTTTTAATTAGGGTCTGTGTGTCTGTCCTAGTGTGCTGTAGGTTTCTGAAGAAATAAATCCTTTAAGTGGGTGTGCTGCTGATTAAATAAGTTATAAGTAAGATGCCCCGAGCATCCATGTTACTGGAGACAGGCCTGCCATTAGGGGGTGACAACCATGGCTTGTAGTTATGCTGGTAATTTTTAACCACCCTCCTGTTTCTTACCTTTTGGGTGCAGGAGGGTGGTCTCTGCTGGCTGGGGCAGGTAGGAGTTAGGGTCTGGCTTTCTCCTTTTCTCTGCCTCCTCCCTCCTACGCGGGTGTTATTTGGGGGGAAGTAACCAACGCTCACTTCCACAGCGCTGACCGGGCAGCTTAAGACATATGCCCATTTGATGGGCCCCCTCATCGTACGGCCCAGGAGCATCCATACACAACGACGGTAGTTCAGCCGCTGCACAAGGCAGTGTGCACATATATTTAGCGATAATCCTGGGCCCATGATAGTCGTCATGGTTGTCACCCCCTAATGGCAGGCCTGCCTCCAGTAACATGGATGTTCGGGGCATCTTACTTATAACTTATTTAATCAGCAGCACACCCACTTAAAGGATTTATTTCTTCAGAAACCTACAGCACACTAGGACAATTAGTTGTTTTACATAAGTACAAATATGAGATACAAAACAATTATTACATAGGAAGAAAATCAATAGTTACATGCATGATTTACTATTTTAATTATGTCTATGTGTTTGTATTCAGTAGCTGTATGCAGGGCCACAGCAAAGTGGCAAAAAGACATCCACTTGGACACATGTAAAGTGCAGTGTCATGATATCATAAAACCCAAGTGTCATTATTTAGGTTTCAAATCCCTCTGTCTCGTTCCCTCTACTAATGTCCCTATTTTCTAGGAGCTCCATAATGTCGGTGTGTGAGTGTATAACAGAGCTTCACATCAATAATAGTAATGTACCTTTAAACTAAAATAATGTGCTTAGAAATCAGTTTGTGTAAATAAGATACATTGTTCTTGTTCTAAATTCCATTTCAGTTGTGTAAATTATTAGTGTCACCTATAATTTCTCAGCACAAACCAGCCAATGACGAAGCGCAACCCCTTCAAATTTAAAGGAACACTATAGTCACCTAAATTACTTTAGCTAAATAAAGCAGTTTTAGTGTATAGATCATTCCCCTGCAATTTCACTGCTCAATTCACTGTCATTTAGGAGTTAAATCACTTTGTTTCTGTTTATGCAGCCCTAGCCACACCTCCCCTGGCTATGATTGACAGAGCCTGCATGAAAAAAAAAAACTGGTTTCACTTTCAAACAGATGTAATTTACCTTAAATAATTGTATCTCAATTTCTAAATTGAACTTTAATCACATACAGGAGGCTCTTGCAGGGTCTAGCAAGCTATTAACATAGCAGGGGATAAGAACATCTTAATTAAACAGAACTTGCAATAAAGAAAGCCTAAATAGGGCTCTCTTTACAGGAAGTGTTTATGGAAGGCTGTGCAAGTCACATGCAGGGAGGTGTGACTAGGGTTCATAAACAAAGGGATTTAACTCCTAAATGGCAGAGGATTGAGCAGTGAGGCTGCAGGGGCATGTTCTATACACCAAAACTGCTTCATTAAGCTAAAGTTATTCAGGTGACTATAGTGTCCCTTTAAAGTGTCCCTCTTTGTCAATATGAAATGTTGGGAGGTATATTATTTTAATAAGTAATTTGCTTATTCAGAATGTAATTTCTACAGCCATAGGTTATCATTGCATATTTCCCTCCCTTTTTTTTTTACTTAACAACCTAGCAGATCCAACTGGCCAATATCATGGTAATCACAGAAGACAGGGGTGGTTACTGCCTGTTGCGACAATGTTTCAGATAATGATCTATAATGTTATGGTGCTTTCGTTGGAGACCTTTGTTATTGTAGATACCACTACCTAAACTGAATCAGTTGGGTGTATTATAACACAATAATCGGAGCACTTCCCTTTTTTGTTGCAGTATCAACATGAAAACATTTCAGAATATTCAGTTCAGAATACTCCAAAAACTTAAAGATGCACTATAGGGTCAGGAACACAAACATGTATTCCTGACCCTATAGGGTTAAAACCACCATCTAGCCCCTCTGGTCCCCTCATGCCTCTCTAAATATAGTAAATCTTACTAGTATTCAAGTCTGGGGCTGCTTGCTTTGTCACTGTTTCCTTTAGTCCTGCCCACTGCCTGCTGACATCAGCAGAAGTGGTAGCCTGATCCAATCACAATGCTTCCCCATAGGATTGGCTGATACTGACAAAGAGGCAGATCAGGGGGCAGAGCCAGCATGATTCAAACACAGCCCTGGCCAATCAGCATCTCCTCATAGAGATGAATTGAATCAATGAATCTCTATGAGGAAAGTTCAGTGTCTGCATGCAGACGGAGGAGACACTGAATGTTTGGATGCATTTTAGGCAGCCATGAACCAGGAAGGATCTCTAACAGCCATCTGAGGAGTGGCCAGTGAAGTTATCACTAGGTTGTAATGTAAACACTGCATTTTCTCTGAAAAGACAGTGTTTACAGCAAAAAGCCTGAAGGTAATGATTCTACTCACCAGAACAAATTCAATAAGCTGTAGTTGTTCTGGTAACTATGGTGTCCCTTTAAAGTATTCTGTCCAGATGTATCCAGCACAGTCCAACTAACACAGAGAGGTTGTAGAATTCCATTTTTCTCAGTCCTCTTTCTTATACTCCAAGTCTCTTCCATCCCTGACCTGATTTGCCATTTAGCTCCTAAGCTCAAAAACTCCAGGAACCAGACAAGCTGTTCACATAATAAAAAAGCACAATGTTTTGTTTTGTTATTTCCTGGAGTTGGAGATTGTGTCATAGCTGCAAGCCAAGCTGGCAGCAAAAAAACAAATACAAAGGATATTTACACATGTACGGTTGTATGAAGAATAGACGTACGTTTAATGTATGTTCTTGGAATGCCATGTCTTGTGATCGCTGTGACAGTCAGTCATAGCAATCACTGTGCTGCTGGGACATCCAACCAGGGCCGGCGCTTACTATAAGGCGAACTAGGCAGCTGCCTAGGGCGCCTTATAGGAGGGGGCGCCCTTATCACCTACCCCAAATGCTGCAGCCGCCCGAGCGCTCTATAGAGAGCCTCAGGCAGCTGCAGCACTACCTCTCTCCTCCCCTGCCCTTCCCTGTAGCGTGGCCGAGCTCCTCTCCGGTCCGCTCTACAGGAACATCCGTTTCCTGTACCCGGCCGGACTGATAGGAAGTGCACACTTAGTGTGCACTTCCTGTCAGTCCAGCCAGGTACAGTAAACAAACTCCTGTACCGCGGACCAGAGAAGAGCTCAGCCACGCTACAGGGAAGGGGAGGTAAGGAGAACAAACGGGTGGTGGGGGGGTGAGGAGAACAAACAGAGGGTGTGTGTGTGAGGAGAACAAACGGGGGGAGTAAGGAGATCAAACGGGGGGGAGTAAGGAGAACAAACAGGGTGAGGGGGAGTAAGGAGAACACTGGAAGAGGGGAGGGGGAGTAAGGAGAACACATATCCATAAACAGTTTGCACAAACTGCAGATCTCTTGTCTGCTGCCTTTGCAAGACCTCCCCTTCTAACCCCGCCTAGACTTTCTGTGGCTGTCCAATCACAGACTTCCTAAAGCAACTCAATGAGAAGTCTTTGCAAGACAGGTGTTCCACTGACCTAGCCAAACCAGGAAGTAACAGGACCGGTTGTCTGCTTGAAAGCCAGAGGGGTGTAACTAGGTTAATTTATAAAAGTGTCCGTTTCTATTGAAATCTGCACTTTTTGCAAAATGAGATAAAGAGGGCACACTTTTCACACACAAAGTTTTTTAAGGAAGCTAAAGTTCTTTAGGAGTCTGAAGTGCCTCTTTAAGGGGTTAAATAACAGGACTAATGTCCTGCTTTCAAAACCAGTTAGACGATTCCATACAATTATCTCATTACCATGCAGCACAGGCTATTTTGTTTTCTGTCTTTACCTTATATCACCAATCCTAATATAGATTAAAGTCAGATGGAGTTCTTTGCCATGCCTACCTGTTAGGAGCAATTTTTGGAACTCTAACTCATAATTTTTTTTAAATAGAACTCAGAAGCCACTGTTCTCGGTGTCCCTGGAGTACCACGTGTCCTATTGCTTTAGGAAACCCACTCCTTGATGGCCGATGACCTCATTTAGGAACCCTCTGTTATACGAAGGTCCCGTAGACACCTGGTTCACTTTAATTTACTTATGAGCAGCCCTGTTGTTGGTTAGAACATTTTGCTTCTGTAACTTGCAACAATGACTCATGTAATTGTGAGATCAGGATAAATTGTACAGACGCCCGAGTGGTTTAGTTTGGCAGTTTACGCAGAAATAAGTCGTTTGACCTAATTTAGCATAGCTCAATAGACAAATTACATTTTAACTTTTTATCTCAGGTAGTTCCTGCTCGAATAGCTAGCGGACAATAACATTGCTTAGATTTTCTGAGTTTTCATGCATTACTATGGTGAGTACTCACATGGAAAAAGAAAAAGATTTGCCCCAGAGTAAATCAGCATAACATCATCTCTAGTAAGACTGAATCTTTATTAACCCTTTAAGGACGGAGGCAATTGTCCAAGTTCTGAACCAAAACATAACCTCGAATTTAATCTACATGTTTGTTCAACCATAATTTACCTCGTTCACATCTAGTGCGCCACACTTATATAATCTTTTAACCCCTTAAGGATACATGACATGTGTGACAGGTCATGATTCCCTTTTATTCCAGAAGTTTGGTCCTTAAGGGGTTAAGGACACTAGTTACGGCTGAGGGGAAAAAGGCATTTTCTATGACTGCGGGATCTTCCATAGATCTGTGTTGTAGTCTTGCGCATGGGCGAGAGTACAAAATGTACGTCTGCTCCTGTCAGCTGAAGCACAAGAAGCTGAAGAGGACCATCAGGAAGAAAATGGCAGCACCCATGATAGACAGATTTGGGTAAGTATAAATCACTTTTCCCTGCACTCCTTGGCCATCCAACTGCCAGCAAAGCAGCCACCGTCAGAGTTTTTGCAAATTATGCAAAGTCTCCAGATGGTGATAGAGCTGCTTTAAACTATCCTTTAGGTTTGAGCCTAAAACTAATCTTGGCAGCTATGTCCTGACTCCTGTACACGAATAACCAGCAATGCTGAACACAATAACCATTAGAATTTTATTTCAAATACAAAATGATCCACTATGTAATGATCCATTAAGGCCATTTACAACTTAAAATAAATCACCAAGTCCTTTTATGAGAACTATTATAGAGTTATTTTGTGAATGATATTTAAACTTATGTGGCACTTACATGATTTTCTCTAATGTGATTGACCATAAAAAAAAAGAATATTGTGAATCATAAAAAAATCTGTGAACGCTGAAAACTCACAACATCAGATAAAATATTTTTAATTGAAATAATCAGAGATGAGATTTCTGGATTACCTCCCAGAGGAACGCAAGTATAAAATTATACTAAATCTCATAGACAGCCTTGGGATAATTAATATAAATATAGCAGGAATTACGATGGACAAATTATTTTGTTTAAAGACATCCCTATTAGATTTGGATATTCATTTTCGGACGAAGTTTCCGTCTGAATTTTAGCTATCCGTTAAGTCATCCGAAAGACGAATAAACAAATATGAATTAAAATGAAGACCAAATTGCTTGTTGGACAAAATTTTGTTTGTGCTGTTTGTCCTTTCATTCATTTTATATTACAAGGAGGGAGCTATTGGCTCACAACTCCTTCCTTGTCATATTTGAAAATAGAAATTCCAAATCCCCCATGCTCCCCCTTACCCTATAGGGGTCAATATGAGCCCATATAAGTATAAGGTCTGCTCACTGTTAAAAAAGACAAGCGACTGAGCAGGTTTTGCTGCCCAGTCGCTAATCCAATAAGGGGCATAATGCCCCAATGCCCCCAAGGTGTAGCCCATACTAAAATGATTAAACTATATAATTATATCCCATCATCATCATTAGTGGTCTTATTTCCCCTATCTTCATTTATTCAGCTCCAAAAAAGGCCAACTAAAAATGCATAACGTTGCATTGCAGCTATTAAAATAAAAGTACCGGATTGCCAAAAAAAACCAAAAAAAAAACATGCAGAAAAAAAAGTCGGGGGAGGGGGAAGGAGGGGGAAAGGCGATATTATTTTTATGGAAGGGAGGACAATAGGTCCACGCACTTTATTATTTAGGGGCCCACCTGCCACCAATGATTGGGGCCTGGGGGAAAGACATAGGTCCACCTCCTTGTTATTTAGAGGTCCCCACCCAGTGCCAGTGGGTTGTGGGCTGAGGGGGACAATTGTTTCCCTCCCCCTCCCAGTTTATTACTAAGGGCGCCCACCTGCCGCCAATATGTGAGGGTTTGGGTCCTGACAATAGTGTCCACCTCCCATATTATGTAGGTCCCCCAGCTGCCACCAATGAGTTTGGGCTGGGGGAGACAATTGGTCCGCCCCCACTTTGTTGTGTAGGGCCCCCACCCACCACCAATGGGTGGGAACTGGGGGGCATAATAGGTCCAGCCCCTTATTACTTAGGGTCCCCACCCATTGGCACTGTGCACCCCCAGCTATTTATTTTAGAATGTGTCCCACTATGGGGGACCTGTCATGACTCCTAGCTTGCGGCCGCTCGTGAACGCACCCAATCAGTGCAGTCTCTCAAAATCAGTGACTTATACGAGTCGCATCGGATCACAGCCATATCTGCTGGTGCATCCTTCCCTAGCGAGTGCGGCATTCCTATGGTCGCCGGCCGCTGCAATACTAAGAATATATGTAGCCCCGCCTCTAGTGGGATCGAGAGTCACATTGACATGCGTGCGCCACCACATCATCGGCATGCAAGTACGTTTTTGAATCAGCTGATCACTGCCCACCAATGACAGTGAGGAATAGGCTATTTAAACCCATTTCTGTATTCCCTCTTTGCCCTGTCGTGGTTGCATCCTGTTTGGTTATCTGAGAGCACATTCCTGTATTTGTTATTTCTGTTTTTTCTGACGATGCTTACTTCTGGCTTCCTGACCTTTTGGCTTTGAATTCCGCTTTTGCTTCTGTATCACTGACCTCCGCTAGTTACTGGTAATTCTTTTTATGTTAATTCCGGCCAGGGCTCGAGTCCTGCAGGAACGCATGGGAATGGTGTTCCTGCACTTTTTCCAAAGCAGGAACGCCGTTCCCGCTAGTAGTCCTGCAGGACCTGCCCTGTTACCAGCACACTGGGGCCCAGCACACTCTGTGTTCCCTCTCCAGCTGCAGCTCACATTCGTGAGACCCGCGGTTGTCAGAGCGTTGCCACGGGTTACCATGGCAACGCTCCGTACAGCACACAGGCGAGTCTCGCGAGAATTAGACAGCTGGAGAGGGAACACAGAGTGTGCTGGGCCCCCCTTGTGCCGAGGCTGGCTCCCTTCACCATACCACCGGATCACCAGGGAATGCGATCTCCCCCCTCCTTGACAAGGTAAGAAGCAGGGAGGGGGGAATAAAACAAAAAAACACACATAAATTGGAAAAAAATGCTTCCCCCCAACACACACACACATCATCACACATAACACACACACACACACACATCTTCCAGCACACACACATCATCACACACACACACACACACATCATGCAGCACACACACATCATCACACACACATCATGCAGCACACACACAAACACTACACACACTGCATTCATTATACACACTCTGCACTCACTACAAACACCTTACATTAACTATACACACTCTGCACTCATTACAAACACTCTACATTCACTATACACACTCTGCACTCATTACAAACACACTACACTCACTATACACAATCTGCACTTACTACAAACACACTACATTCAATATGCACACCCTGCACTCACTACAAACACACTAGATTCATTATACACACCCTGCACTGCACTATAAGCATAGGAGTGTAATTTTTTGAGTTCCCACACTTTTTCCCCCAGTACTTGACCCCTGATTCCAGCCATTCTAATGCCCTGTAATAGTTTTACCTTAGATTATTATTTACCTAGTTTGACTTAGTTCTGTATGCTTAGCCACTGTATTGTCCTGACAGGACCTATGCCAGGTCCACCTTTATTGGATTAGCCACTGGCTGCTCACTGTATAGTAGACATGTCCCTACTCTTGGCATGGCAGATGGGCCAGGAGGGAGGATGTAACCTCCCCTATTTAAAAAATACTCTAAGTATTTTTTAGATAGTATTAGTAAGTTGTCTGAAAGACTAATATTACAAAAGGAAGAGCCTTTCTTATTTTAGCTTTTTTAAAAATTTTTTTAGCTTTTTGGTGGATAGCTTCCTAATCCTTAAGGGATTGCCATAAGGATACCAAAAAGGAGCTATCTATTAAACAGCTCCCTAGTATGGTAACCTTAGATATGGAAATCCCACAAGGGTACCAATTTAAGGAGTTGTTTACTAAAAGTGGCATGGATCGGAATTTTTTTTGTCCAAATGAAATTCCAAAACAAAAATAATGACTGAATTTAGCCTGAAAACAAATTAACGAAATTCATTTCAGAGTAAACGATTTTTATTTTGTCCAAACACATACAGACAAAATAAAAATTTCGGCAGTGCCCAAGTCTAAACCCTAACATGCTTGTATCATAGCTTTTCTTTGTAAATATTCAACAGAAGTAAATGGACAATGTAGCGGAGATGCAGGGCCGGCGCGTCCATAAGGCGGCACAGGCGGCCGCCTTAGGGCGCACGGGCTCTGGGGGCGCAATATTTCAGTGACCGGCAGGAGGGAAGCTCTCCCTCCTGCCAGGCCACCATCTCGACCCCCGGCGCGCGCGGCAGTGCTGTGATCAGGCGCGCGAGGGAGCTCTAATCTCCACCCTCTGCTCCCTCGCGCGCTGCCTACTGATGCCGCGGGAGCCGGAATATGACGTCATCAGTAGGCAGCCCGCGAGGGAGCAGAGGATGGAGATTAGAGCTCCCTCGCGCGCCTGATCACAGCACTGCCGCGCGCCTCACAGCACTGCCGCGCGCCTCTCAGCAGCCCCAGCCCTCAGGGACCGATCCAGCATCCACACCAGCTCTCCAGGTAGGGAGGCTGGGTGGAAAATGTTTATTTATAAAATTATTAGTGAATGTATGTGATGTGTGTCTGTGTGTGTGTGTCTGTGAGTGACAGTGTGTTTGTCTGTGTGTGTGTCTGTGAGTGACAGTGTGTGTGTCTGTGTGTGTGTGTCTGTGAGTGACAGTGTGTGTGTCTGTGTGTGTGTGTCTGTGACAGTGTGTTTGTCTGTGTGTGTGTCTGTGAGTGACAGTGTGTGTGTGTCTGTGAGTGACAGTGTGTGTGTCTGTGAGTGACTGAGCGTGTGTCTGTGAGTGACAGTGTGTGTGTCTGTGAGTGACTGAGCGTGTGTCTGTGAGTGACAGTGTGTGTGTCTGTGAGTGACTGAGCGTGTGTCTGTGAGTGACAGTGTGTGTGTCTGTGAGTGACTGTGTGTCTGTGAGTGACAGTGTGTGTGTCTGTGAGTGACTGAGCGTGTGTCTGTGAGTGACAGTGTGTGTGTCCATGAATGACTGTGTGCGTCTCTGTGTGTGT